TCAGCACGGAGCCCGACGCGGGGCTCAAACCCACGAACTGTGAGATCATGACTTGAGCCGAAGTTGGACGCTTAACCAACTGAGCCACCCAGGCGCCCCTGAGTTACTTATTTACATTTTTAACTAGTGACGATCATGCAGCCTTGGATAGTGAAAATTGGTACAGACTTTTTGGAGAGCTTTGGTCACACTTAGCAGAATTTAGTGTGTATATACCAATAACCCAGGAATCTCACTTCTAGGAAGCTATTCTAGTACGGAACAGTATGATCCCCTTGGGTGTCCCTGATACCCTTTCCGAGAAGGTCGAGAGGTTAAAACAGTGTTCATATTACTACAATTCTCAGATGCTGTTTGCACTCTTTGCACTAATGGTGCAAAAGTCATGCAGGCTCCTTAGCGTGAATCAAGGCTGCAGCACCTAACTATCCTAGGAGCCATCGTACCGTTCGTGCCGTGCACTCGCGATGAGTACAATACAATGAAATAATTTGGTTTTCACCTGAATGTTCTCGATGCAGTCGTAGAACAGGTTAAATTTATTAACTGTTGCCGCTCGTGGAGACGGTTTTTCCCGTAGTCTGTGGGATGAAATGAGAAGGTGCACGTGAACGTCTCTGCTGTGCACTGAGGTATGATGGTCCTCTCTCCAGGAGAAGCAGATGGGCAGTTCTTTGAGCTGCATGCTGAACTAGCTGCGTTTTTCACCGACTGCCATTTTTACTCCATTTTACTGCCACCGACAAACAACGGTTAGTCAGTCTGAAAAAAAAAAAAAAGGATAAAGGAGTCTTTCAAGAAAACAACTGGCCGTGTATGTTGCCAGTGATAAACTTCAGCTTTCCAATGAAAATTAGGATTTTGGAAAACTTGTATCTGCTACTGTGGTGTAGAGATCGGTGGTGATATTCACAGGTGCGGTGCTTTGATAGCTTATAATGAAATGTATTATTCAGCAAATCTACATAATTCAGTGAACCCATTTTTTCTAAGTGATCACTATGTGGGATCCTAAAATCACACACAGGTAAAAAATCCATCCAGGGTGCAAGGTGGGCCAATGGATTTTAATGTTACAAAAGTTCCCTGATACAGTTTTAGGTTCTACATCACAACTAACCTTTAAGGAACTACCATTTAATGGCGTTTTGGTGTAGCTCCTAAGAAGAATAAATACAGTGATCTAAAAAGGCTACTTTTTTGGTGGCCAACAGTTATTTTCCAGTAATAAAAATGTTTTTTTTTTTTAATTTTTTTTTTCAACGTTTATTTAGTTTTGGGACAGAGAGAGGCAGAGCATGAATGGGGGAGGAGCAGAGAGAGAGGGAGACACAGAATCGGAAGCAGGCTCCAGGCTCTGAGCCATCAGCCCAGAGCCTGACGCGGGGCTCGAACTCCCGGACCGCGAGATCGTGACCTGGCTGAAGTCAGACGCTTAACCGACTGTGCCACCCAGGCGCCCCTAAAAATGTTTTTAAATGAATAAATTTTAGAATTTCAGTTTAAATTTCTTAAAAAAATTTTTTTTTAATGTTTATTTATTTTTGAGACAGAGAGAGACATAGCATGAACGGGGGAGGGTCAGAGAGAGGGAGACACAGAATCTGAAGCAGGCTCCAGGCTCCGAGCTGTCAGCACAGAGCCTGATGCGGGGCTCGAACTCACAGACTGTGAGATCATGACCTGAGCTGAAGTCGGGTGCTTAACCGCCTGAGCCACCCAGGCGCCCCTCAGTTTAAATTTCTAATGTGGTGAACTCTGGTGAGATAATCTATATAAACAAAAGCTTGTTGGGGTCCTGAGTAATTTTCAAGAGTGTGAAAAGGTCCTGAGATAAGAAAGTTAGAACTGCGGCTCTAGAAGTTTTCTCACAAGGGCACATAAGGCTGTGTATTGCAGGTGCACCATGAAACACTACCCTTGAAAGGCATCTGTGTAGTGCTAAGAGGTAAAAAGCAATCTGGAGATGAGTCAGCATGGTATGGGAATTGGGATTTAGGTGGCATCGGAGAAAAACTTGGACTTCTTACTTTGCCTTTGTGATTTCTTTCTGTGACAAATTTGCTATAATGCAGAACATAAAAAGATGCAAAAACTGAATTGATGGCCGCCCAACCAAACTGTCCCTCTTTTGCAGCAGCTTTTTATGAAAGAATTTGCCTAATTCACGTTTTACTGAAGACAAATCAATTTCTTTGGACCTTGGGTATCTTTTTCTAGGGCAACACGGTCTTATTTTGTGTTACAGATTGTTCTTGATCCTTCGTGGGGTGATCTTTCTAGAGTTGGTTAATATTCATATAGGTTGGATTAAAAAACTTGCAGTCATGGGTCACCTGGGCAACTCAGTAGGTTAAGTGTCCAGCTTTGGCTCAGGTCGTGATCTCATGGTTCATGGGTTCAAGCCCCGGGTGGGGTTCTGTGCTGACAGCTCAGAGCCTGGAACCTGCTTCGGATTCTCTCTCTCTTTCTCTGCCCCTTCCTCCACTCGCGTGCTGTCGCTCTGTCTCAAAAATAAATAAACCCTAAAAATTAAAAAAAACCCAAAAACCCACCTTGCAGTCATAACATACGTTGTTGGATCAGACACGAACCTGGAAGCCAAGGATGCTGCAATGTGAGAGCGGCAGTGGTGAATCTGGAAGGAGAGGGCAGATGGCAGTTTTTTGCCAGGATCATTCGGGGTCAGAATGGCTAGTCATATGTACAGGGAGAAAAAAAAGGAAACCATGGTATTATTTCACGCACCATATGTCCCTTCCAGATTTCAGTGGCTTGACTACAGAAAATTCACTTTCGGGAGAGTTGGTAAAAGAGGAATAAAAGCATTCACTAGTAAACCTCTTTTCCTTAGTAGTTTCCTTCTTTTTCCAACAAATATTTATTGAGCACACTATGTATCAGGGAATGTTGTAGTCATTGGTGATACATTAGCAAACAAAAACATCCCTGCCCTCCTGGAATTGACATTCTAGTGGGAGGAGACAGACCATAAATAAGCTAGGTAAGTAAAGTATAGAGTATGTTAGATGGTAGTAGGTTCTGGAGAGAAAAATAACATAGAAAAGGGGCTAAGGAATGTTGGGCCCTGCGATTTTAGTTAGGGAGGCCTCCCTGAGAAGGTGACAGTTGAATAAAGACCCGAAGGCAAAGGTGGGAAGTGAGGAACAAGCCTTGGAAATAATGGGGAAATCATCAGTGCAAAGGCCCTGAGGCAGAGCTTGTTTAGCTTGTTTGAGGAGAAGCCCAGAGTAACTGGAACCATGGGAGCAAAAGGAGAGT